CATGACACTCACATTGTCACAAAACACAACTGTAGAACGAGACAGAGGGCAAGATAGTTCAAGAAGAAGATTACGGAGCCAAGCAGTTTCAGCAACAACATTAGCTACCCCCCGATACTCAGCTTCAGCGCTAGACCGAGACACAACATGTTGACGTTTTGAAGACCATGAGACCAGATTATCACCAAGATAAACACAAAACCCAGATGTAGACCGACGTGTCAAAGGACGGCCAGCCCAGTCTGCATCAGAATAAGAAACCAAACGATCGACATGAGACAGACGAATGAACAGACCATGATGAAGAGTACCCTGAAGATAACGCAAAATACGTTTGAGGGCTAAGAAGTGCGGTTCTCGAGGATCATGCATAAAGAGACATATTTGTTGAACCGCATATGCAATATCTGGACGAGTAAAAGTGAGATATTGTAGAACCCCAACAAGACTTCTGTATAAGGTCGGATCAGAAACCGGTTTCCCGGATAAAGAGAGTTTCGGTTTGGTGTCCGTGGGAGTACTACACGGATTACAGGAGGTCATGTCAGCGCGGGATATGATCTCCTTAGCAAATGCCGTTTGTGAAAGAAACAGACTATCTGCCGAGCGTGTAGCAGAAATTCCGAGAAAAAAGGACAGTGGACCGAGGTTCGTCATGGCAAACTCAGATGAGAGACGAGTAATGACTCTCGTGATGAGGGATGGGTTGGAAGCTGTAAGGATGATATCATCAACATAAAGAAGAAGATAGATAGTTTCCGAATCATGGTGAAACGTGAAAAGGGAACTGTCTGAGCGACTGCTGATAAATCCAAGAGAAGAGATGTATACCGCGAATCGTTGATACCACGCACGAGGAGCTTGTTTGAGGCCATATAGGGCCTTCCGAAGACGACATACATGATCAGGGAAAAGTAGGATGAACATATCCGGGAGGTTGTTTCATGTATACCTCTTTACTTAAGTCACCGTGAAGGAAGGCATTTTTGACATCAAGTTGGTGAATATGCCAGTGACGAGAGACAGCAATACTGAGAACAGTACGAATGGTGGCTGGTTTGACAACAGGGCTAAACGTGTCATCAAAATCTAGACCTGGTTGTTGAGAGAATCCCTGAGCTACAAGGCGCCCTTTGTAGCGATCGAGATTACCGTGATAATCAAACTTATGGCGATAGAGCCAACGACAACTGACAATGTTGGCAGTAGGAGGGCGTGGAACAAGATCCCAGGTGTGATTGTCAGTTAGAGCTGACATTTCCACATCCATAGCGAGTTTCCAATTTGGATCACTCATAGCTTGGGCAGTGGATCTGGGGATAGGAGAGATGTTAGAGGTAGCAGAGAGATTAAGGATAGTACGAGGTTTTAGAGAGCCTGTTCGCGATCGAGTAGTCATAGGGTGACTGGGCGGTGGAGGAGGAGTAGGAGGAGGAGGAGTAGGAGAGGAAGGTGGTGACATGGAGGCCACATGACCAGCGGAGTAAGTAGTTGCGGATAAGGGGAGAGTCGAAGGAGGATCATCATCGGGAATGAAGTGATTATAGTCAGACTCAGAAGGGGATGGATGAAAATCAGAATAAGGAAAGTGATCTTCATTGAATATGACGTGACGAGATAAGATAATGCATTGAGTGACGAGCTCTAAACACTTGTATCCCTTGTGATCCGGAGCGGGACCAAGATAAATACAAGCGGTAGACCGAGGAGAGAGTTTGTGAGGGGAAGTAGACGATGTGTTAGGATAACACAGACATCCAAAGACACGAAGGTGATCATACTTTGGGAAGAAACCAAAGAGGACCTCAAAAAAGGTGTCTTAAAAGATAGAGTGGTAGTGGGAAGCAGATTTAAGGTGTGAACAGCAGTGAGAAGAGCTTCAGTCCAAAATGAAGATGCTAAGGAAGCTTGAAACAGAAGTGTACGGATAATATTATTGATGGAACGAATGGAGCGTTCAGCTTTGCCATTTTGTTGGGACGTGTATGGACAAGAGAAACGAATAGCAATGCCATTGGATTGAAGATATGTAAGAAGTAAGTGATTATTAAATTCTCGACCGTTATCACACTGAAAGGATTGAATATCGGTTTGAAATTGATTTTTAACATACATTCGAAAATTGCAAAAAACAGAATATACTTCAGATTTTGCACGAAGAGGAAAAACCCATAAAAAATGAGAGAAGTCATCGAGAAACAATATATAATATTTAAAACCACTCAAGCTAGTAATAGGAGATGTCCATAAATCCGAATGAATAAGTTCAAACACACGAGTAGTTTTAGATAAAGAGGAAGAAAAAGGTAAGCGACAATGTTTTCCAAGTTGACAAGCATGACAAATTGGAACTTTATTAGTGCTACTAGAAATAAAATGACGAGACTGCAAAAACTTGAGTACGGAAGATCCAGGATGTCCTAAGCGACGATGCCATGTGGGAAGAGAAACTGTGGTAAAAGCTGTAGCAGAAACCGTAGGAACAGAAGAAGGAGTGCACGGGTACAAATCACCAGCACTATCGCATCGTTGTAGGACGGCATCTGTATTAAGATCCTTTACAGAAAAACCAAAAGGGCCAAAAGAGACAGAAACCCAAATTATCAGTAGTGAATTTACGCACATACACTAAGCTTTTAATTATTTTATTGGATACAAGGACATTTTAAGTAAGAATTTATCATGAGAATAAGGAAGATATGTTTGGCCAATGTGAGAAACCGGAATAATAGCACCATTATCGACCATGATGGACTTAGAATTACACAGTGATAGAGAAAACATGTTACCTTGGTTGAAGTTCATGTGGGAGCTTGCTCCCGTATCCATGTAATATTGATTATCCGGTGGCGGTTGGATGGACATTGCTTGAAAAACCGATGCTAAATCTGTGGGTTGTGTTGAAGAAGTTGAACCCGGACCTTGAGAAATATTATTATGTTGCTGGTAGGCTAAACCTTGGTTGTTGGGCCGAAATGGCATGGAATTGGGCTGCCCAAAAAGGGCAGCATGTTGCTGGACCGATGGGTATGCAGGGCTGGGCTGTTGAGTAGAGAAATGGGTTGGCAATTGTACTTGTTAGGCCATGTTGGCTTGCTGGTGTGCAGGAAAAGTGCCGGCAGCAGCATATAGCGATGGTGGCTGTCCATTTGAGGGCATCACATATCCCCAAGGAGAGTTAGGACCACCATTTTGACCATAAAATAAATATTGTTGCTGATGTGGAGATGTTTGACCAATAGTGCTTGGATGAGACCCCATTATACCTGCAAATTGAGAATTTTGTCTTGGAGAAGTACCTGCTTTAGAAGAAACTCGGTTATTATTACGATTTTTGTTCCATTTATTTTTTGATTTTCTGGATTGTTGTGAAACGGAATAAAGAGCAGTTGTTGTGATGTTTGTCGGGTCTTGCATCATGTCGTGGTTGTCTTCACGATTTTCATGGAGTAGAAGCATATTTTTTTGGCTTCTAAAAAAGATGGGAACGGTTTAGTATTCGTGACAACATCGATAATACTTTGGTAGGAGGGCGGTAGACCACGAAGAATTTGCATAACAAGCTCCACTTCAGATATATCGGAGTCAACATCATGTAGAGCATCAGCAAGGTGTTTGAGATTGTGGCAGTAATCGTGAATAGAGGATGCGCCTTTCTTGGTGTTACGAAACTGTTCTTGTAGTTGCAACATCCGGGACATTTTATTATTGAGAAAGAATTCCTGAAGGTTATCCCATAAGTTCTTTGCAGTGCATTTATCAGTAGTAATAACCTGCAACACATTGGGATCACAAGTCGAGTAGAACCATGATTTCACACGAGAATCAATTGAACGCCAGTCTTCATCATCTTCACCTGTTGGTTTAGATTTTCCAGTAATGTGTCCAAGAACCTTGGCGCCTTGACAAATGTCTTTAAATATACGACACCACAGTTTATATTTAGAGCCATCAGAAGTCAATTTGAAACTAAACTGGTTATAGACATTTGTTACCGCGTATACCAACTGTTGAGCGGTAGGGGCTGTGGTGGAAGAACCGGCTGGAGTGGTACTCATTAGAAATCCGGAAAAGCAAAGAAATAAGATGGAAGAAAAAACACGTAAAAATAAACAGGTGACTTACCGCAAGAAGAGGAGTTGTAGTAGAACCACTTGTGCGACACCAACAAGGAAGAATGGAGGCAGCGGAAAGGCAGGAAGCGAAAACAGGTTGCAAGAGTAGGTGGTATCAATGGAGATTACTGGACAGAGGTTGCAGCAGGAAGAAAAAAAAATCGAGCGTATGCTAGACGCCGATCATAACCTTGCTTGATACCATGTTTGTGTGGAAAGTACCCCGTAGGGTTTGCATTGTATTCCATAGTATAAATAATACAGTGTATGAGATAATTACATAAAGGACCCTTATCTATACAATATATATGATACCTACACTAAACATGAAAATAAATAATACAATTAACAAAAATAATGGAAATGATCTAATAATAAACATTATCATACACATATAATACTATTTGAAAAAACAACTAAATTGGTAAAATACAGAAATTATATAATAAAAAGGTATCAAGTATTATGATTTGTAAATAAAATTAAAACAATAATCGATCAAAACTTATAAATCCATGAACGCAACATATGAGCATATAATACTATACAATAATAATAATAATAATCAATCAAATAAACAATTGTAAGTTATTTAGCAATTGATAAAGGATACACAAATAAAAAAAGTTAACAAAAGTTTCAAATTTCAGATAAGTAATCTAAGAATAAATCTATGATTTGTTTCTTTTTTGCTCGAGGCTTTTTTATTGTTCAGAAATATTATCTTGAATATTTTTTTCTCTCCTTTTTATTATTGAAGTACCATGTTTATATTATGAATAACCATGAACGTTTTTTTAAAAACAAAATCTCACTTTATAATCTAGTTTAAGAATAAAGAAACAGGGGAAACATCAGCTTAATATAAAAGAAAATGAAGCGAACCTTTGTATCAAAAGACAAAGAAGTAATCTGGTACATATACATATATAGGTGCAGGAGAAGGACCATCGTCTCTTTCCTCATTCCCATCTCTATTCTCTCTTCTCTCCCGTTTTAATCCAGTGTGTAAGGGAAGGGGCTACTCTGCGAGATTTCTGGGTCTATATTATATATAGCCCCTGCGATCTTTCTTTTTTATCGCTGACAAACTCAATTTACTGCTATCGATCCCTCTCCCTCTCTCTCTTCTGTGTTGTGTGTAAAAAGTTGGTATGATATTCGGACAATAAACGCTGTCAAAGCCATAAAAAGTCTAAACGACGAAAGAAAAAGTTTGAAGAAAAAAAATGCTGGAAACGCTCAAGTACCTGATCGGCTCAGCCGGACCGAGTGGCTACGGCTCCAAATCGACTGCCGAACAAGTCACCGATAACTGCGTCGATTTACGCACCTCCACCGCCATCATCACCGGTAATCATTATCTGTAAATTGTAACTAATCATACGCATTCGCATCCGCATGCAATCTCATCATTAACGTATCATTACTGGAGAGAAAGAGAAAGAGAATCCTCCTTTTTTATTTAATTTTCTTCGGATGAAGTATTAAAAAAATAATAATAGTAATCGAATCTACTACGTTAAGTATTTGTTGATATTTAGATGGATTTTGATCTTACAAGGTGCGACGTCGGGAATCGGAGCTGAGACGGCTCGAGTCCTGGCTAAGCGCGGAGCTCGTCTCGTCATTCCTGCTCGAAACCTGAAAGCTGCGGAGGAAACAAAGGCTCGTATCACATCGGAGTTTCCTGATTCCAAAATCATCGCTATGCGTCTCGATCTTAGTTCTCTCAAATCCGTGAGAAGCTTCGTTTCTGATTTTGAAGCTCTCAATTTGCCTCTGAACCTCCTCATGTAAATTCATGTTAATTCCTTTAAATTTCTTTCATCTAACAACACGATAATTAAGTATTCACACTAACGATCGAGTAACTGAAATCTGTTAGCAACAACGCCGGTAAATTCGCACACGATCACGGCATATCCGAAGACGGGATCGAGATGACGTTTGCAACTAATTATCTAGGTAAGTTTTTAGTCATCCACATAAAAAGCATATTTGATGTATATTTGTTTTAGTTAGTGTAAGCAAAATTCGACACGATTCAACAGAAATTGCATCTTCATGAATTAATTAGGTCATTTTCTGTTAACGAAACTGTTGCTGAAGAAGATGATAGCAACGGCGAAATCCACAGGCATTCAAGGACGAATAGTAAACGTATCGTCCGGCATCCATACCTGGTTTTCCGGCGACCTAATCGGCTCTCTCGGTCAATTAACTCGAGATAAAAGGTACATACAATACTGAATACAGTATTTATTTTAAAAAACCGAGAAGAAATAAAATACTTTGTTGCATGAAATTTCAATCTAGAATATTCTATAACCAAATAAAACGAATATAGATACTATTATTCAAATTCATTCCTAAATAAATTAATAGCATGTAACGGAATTAAACACAAAACATAAATGTTTTTCAACTAATTATTTAACTTATTATTGATGGAATTAAATTATATCACCTTTTAATTGTACGACCATTTATGATTTGTTAACTGGACCACTAAAAAGACGAAAATATCAGTATTTATAATTTTACCTTTGGTATTACACTACCAAGTACATTTTAGAAACTATTCCAATTTGAATACAACCGAATTTCTTTTTTTCTAAATATAACAATTATTATTTAATGACTTTGATTTTGACTTTATATTTTGTGTATTAATTTTGTCATTTTGTCAATCTGCATACAGTCACTACGATGCAACACGTGCATATGCAATCTCGAAGCTTGCTAACGTTTTGCACACCAAGGAACTTGCTCGCAGACTACAGGTACTATATAAAGATTGTCTCGATTATTACAATCGTACAAATATATGTATATATTTCTGGATTACCATTAAAATATGAGATTTCCATATTAAAGCAGAATTTTGTTTTCTTTCCTTTTTTTTTCTTTATATATTCTTATGTTTCGCTGGATATATATATATATATATATATATATATAGATATATATATATATATATATATATATATATATATATATATATATATTTAAAATATTATATTTTTGGTGGCAGGAAATGGATTGTAACGTGACTGTGAATTGTGTACATCCTGGGATCGTGAGAACTCGTCTCACAAGGGAACATGAAGGTTTCATTACAGGTACTTTTGTGACATTCATTTCTATAATTATATAAGCATTTACAAAAATTTCAATTTATAACTATTCTTAAAGAAATAGTCACATCATTCAGCATAATTTGTAGACAAAAAGATAATATGGTTATTTTTTTCATATTCATTTCGTCCAAAGAAAATAATTAAAAGAAACATTCTTTGTTTAATTATACAAACACAAATATCATTTATCCATTAATCACTTCACACCTAGAGCACTTAAGGAGGAAAGAAAAAGGAAAACACCCCCTTAATCTTAAATATTTTGAAATCACTGTTAATATAGTTTTTTTTTTTCAAAATTCTGAAACTTATATAAAACATGCAGATTTCGTATTTTTTGTGACTTCAAAGCTGTTGAAAACGATACCGCAGGTATTTTTATTGTCTAATTAAAAAAAATTATATATTTTTTAATTCTTGCCATCTGTTACAATTTATTTGTAATATTTTGTATGTATATAGGCTGCTGCAACTACATGCTATGTTGCAACAAATGAAAAACTAGAAAATGTGAGTGGAAAATATTTTGCTGATTGCAATGAAGCTTCAAATTCGGAAATGGGATGCAACCGAAAGGAAGCTGCACGATTATGGTCGTTCTCTGAAATCATGGTTTCTACTAATTGGAAAGATGTTTTTGCTCCATTTCGTTAGAAACACAGTATCAGTATCAGGTTCAGGTTCAAAATAGAACCAAATTATACCAAGAAAAAAAAGAGATAATTCAATCTCGGCCTTTGGATGAAAAAACATTCCAAAGGTTTAGATTGAGTTATGTGACTCTATGATTTATTTTATTTCTATTTTGAACCTAGCTGGAGAGACACGTACTATAGTTTATACATTAAGCATCAAATTAGAAAAATACAAGATACCTTGATCGATGAACATATTATTATATGTTTGGCATGTAAAGACAGGTTAGTTTACAAGTTGTATGATAATATGATATTATATATAAAGATACACAAGTCACATATGCATATATATGCAACGACCGGTTTATTATAATTTATAATTTGTGGGTGCAATGTTAGGCAGCTTCTTTCAATATTATGTTACAGATTTGTCACTTAGCTGTGTTGATACTATATGCTAATTGTTAGATTCTACTTTTTAAGAATCCTAATTTTAAATTCCTTTTTTTGGTCACAGTTGATATATTAAACCATTTGTTAGGATTTTTAATCAACTTTTCTCGAGACTAAATGGTAAATATGTAATCGACCAAGCATGCAAGGATTAAATATATTGACGTGGAAAGATATCAAAATAATTAATATGTCTTTGAGGCGGTGGGTATTCATCCCTGCAATCTCTTCCTTCAAAAAATGATAAACAACATTATTTGAACGAATAATATTAATATGTCCCATGGTGCACAAAAGCAATCTACTTATATATATATATATATATATATATATATATATATATATATATATATATATATATATATATATATATATATATATATATATTACCAATAATAAAAATGTACATATGTTTCCTTACCTATAATAGTAACTGGTAATAATCATTTGTTAGCATTTCAAAAATGTTAGTTACATATTGTTAATAATCATAAGAAAAAGTTAAGAATATTACTATTAGGCCGGAGGGTATGCAGCGGGAAGACTTCCTTCTCACTGGAACACCGTACCGTGGGTGAGGGGAGCAACCCGCGGGAAAGAGGTGGGGGGAGGGGTGACGCACACTCTCTTCTCATTCTATTGGCCAGTTTTTTTTTTTTTTTTTTTTTTTTGGTTTTATCTTTTTTAATATTTATAAAATTATATACCGACTAAAAAAATATAGCAAAATTCATGGTTTTTAATTACCTACAAAATGAGTATAATATATGTATGAAATATATTTAAAAAAAATTAAAAAAATAGCGAGGGGAGCTTCTAGCCCATTCCTTGGGTTTTAAGTGAGGGAAAGGAAAGTGAAGGAAATGATGGTGTGGCCCACAAAAAGTGAGGAAAACTCCCCACCCATACTCTCCGGTCTTATAAATAAAAGATAAAACAACTCCTTATATTGATAGAAATAGTAAATCCCCTTACTATATGTTTTATGTCGTGCTCCTGAGTTTAATAAAGGAAAGAAAAAATGGGAAGAAAAAAAAGGAGGGGAATGGAAAAAATCTATTGTATTTTTGTGTTTCCAGGTTTGAGAAAGGCTAGAGTCGTGAAAGACGGTGATTACGAAGGCTAGGATATATATATTGTTAATAATCATAAAAAGGAGGGGACGTGTGTGGACAGTGTTATTCTATGAGAATAACTAAAACAATAAGTTATTTGATAATGTGAATACGTTTAACCTCACAACTATCGTCATTATCATATATTCTCACTAATTCTTATTCATTTTTGTTGTCATGTATCGTTTTTCACTCATTTTCATTCTTACAAAATACGATTATTAATAACACATTCTAACAACATTTTGACAGGATAATAATCATAAAAAAAAAAATCTATAATACCATTGTAGACGATTTAATTAGTGATATATGATAATGACAATAATTATGTGAGGTTCAACGTATTCACATTACCAAACAACATATTTTCTTAGTCATTTTTATAGAGTAGCACTGTTTGCACATCCGCACAATAGATGTTCATCCACATTTGAACGTAGACTAGTTCCTAGGAAAACATTCTTAGGAAATTTCTTAGAAATAGACTTTTCCTAGGCATTTCATTTTTTTGGAAACACCTTCCTGGGAAAACATTTTTGTAGAAAAATGGATGTTCAACAGGACTATACAGAAGGAAATAATATTGTGTTTGATCTGAGTTCGAATGGAGGCAGATGTAATTTTTTTCTAAACACAAAAGAAATAGCAATTTTTTAAAAATTAAGCCAACACCAATTCCGAGTAAATGCCTCCAACAAAAGTTTCCCTCGAATAAACGTAGAAACATGTGAGGGATTTTCAAGCAACTATCATTCAAACACATTTTTCACCTTTGATAGGAATTCTCTCGGAAATTTGTAGGAACTTCTGAGGAAAAAACTGTTTTTAACATTTTATGCAAATTTCTAAGAAATCCATTAGAAATGCGTAGGAACTTCCAATGAATTTATTTTTTAGGAAATTTTTTGTAGGATCCAACGCATTTTTCTAATAGTGAAAGTCTTAATTTAATAGTATGTTTTTGGATTTAGTTATTACTTATGTTAATCAAATGACTTTTGGCCTAACAGTATCAAGGTGTTTCGAAAGTGTGTGTCGTTAAAAAGAACTAGTTTAGGAGTAGGATTTTAGAGAATGTGTACGTTAGTCATTCAAAAAAAAGTTATTAACTTATGTTAAATATATTCCAAGACATTGTATATAACTTCATCAATCTTTACTCATACTCTATATATTATTTTTCTTTCTGATTTTGATACCTTTAAACCGATAAATCAATTACCAAAGTTTTATTCTTGTAGTAAAGACATTTATCAACTAGAAAAGTGTTAACTAGTTTGTAGGATACCTATAAGTTAACTCACAATTCATTTTTTAACTTTTTCCTGATTCTGGTTTCGTTTAATCATTTTTCCCTTTTTAACTTTTCTCGACAAATAAAATATAATGTGAGCATAATAATCTCTCATACATTTGGAAAACTATTTTGACAAGAAAATGATGGGTCAAAACTAAAAGAGGTTTTCATGTTCAAATGAAAACCCTATCCACATCTTCTTTGGAGATAAAAGATGTTAAAAAAAGAAAAACCGGGTCCACATTTTTATTTAGGCATGGACAGATGGACAGTGTAACAACACCCAATGTAACCCCATTTCAAAAAATCGATTGTACAAGTTTTAATGCACGAGGTATGAGTAATCAAGGTATCACTATCTGGATTTCAGATACAAGCTTTAGTGGTCAGGCCCATAAAAAAAAGCGATTTGATGTAAAAAGAAAGATACATTTTGCCCATATCATGTATCATTCAAAGTGACCTGTTCCCACCATTTTCTCACAAAGTTACATGTGGGCTATGTTATGTATACATCTTTATTTATCATCATCATCATTAATAATCCCCACACACATTCTTTTTACATATTGTATATTCATTACTCCATATCTCAACTCAAAATAATAATAATAATAATAATAATAATAATAATAATAATAATAATAATAATAATAAATCAACATATCCTGAACTTGGAGGGCTTCAAATAACGTCTATCATTTTGAAAAGTATTGAAAGTATCATAACGTCTACAATTAGCTAGGTTTTGTCGAAAATTTTCAAATTGACCTGAATTATAACATTTTTCATTGATATTTTTGTGCGAGTTTTTGCTCAAAGCCATAATTATTTAGACATAGACATACTACAAGTCCATAACATAAAACAGAAATATATACTTTAAAACTTTGGCCCAACATACACTTAGTCCAGCAATGCAGGGCCAGTGCGTCCAAATGCCTTAACAATCCATATCCAATATACTTTCACCAAAACGTACACCCCGAAAAGTTTTATTTTATATAACAAGTTAGATCCTATACATGACACAATAATATAACTATAGTGGTATGTGCTAGGGGGTAGAATGCAAACTCTTAGGGTTTAACACTTCAAGAGACAATTCAACAATTCCATAAAACAAAGTAAAAATGCAAAACAAAATAAGACATAGTATTTAATGTGATTCACACAATCAAATGATCGTCTACGTCCACGAGCGAACACAAAAGAAAAATCTTTTATTATATCTGCCAAAAAAGACTTCAGTACATTAAGTTACACGAATTCAGGGAATATAATTATCAGTTGTTTGAACTAAAACTGCCCCCGGACCCCGCTTCCTTGACCATCGCCATCTCTTTTGGGAACGGGACTCAATTGCTTGGTGTGTCTAGCGGCTATAGGGCCAAAGACGAATTGTTCTATAGAACTATAATGATAACATAATTTGGATTCTAATACTTCCATTAATCAACTAGTAGCTAATTCATTCCTTTATCCTTACCTGTTATAATATATATATATATATATATATATATATATATATATATATATATATATATCAATGAAAAAACAACAGGTAAGCTAGAAAGCTAAGTGGATAACACAACGATTAAGATACATTTTTTTTTTACTTTAGTAATCCCTTATGATTCTATATGTGGTGTTTAAAACTTTTTTTTTTCAAACAGTTTTGAATAGAATCACATTTTAATTAATTTTAAAAAACTCTAATTACCAAACTTGATATTCATTTTAGTATCTAACTATCTAACACGTGAGTGCTAATAATGATATATAATAAAATCTTGGGCTGTTTTGTGTCAAATCATAATTGATAGTGGCTAGATTTATTTCTCTTTCTCCATATTGATGCTTTTTGCATGTGGCTATGCTCTAATTCTATCATAAATCAAGATCCAATACTTCCGAAAGTAGCCTCTTTCAAGCTTGATAGATTATGTACTAAACAAAAGAACCAAATTTATGTACAAAAACAAGTGTTAGGGGAAAAAAGGGAAATGACATAATAACATCGACTAATCAGGCCTTCTACTCAACCTCCACGAATTGGGTTCATTATATATAATATATATATATATATATAATATATATATATATATATATATATATATATATATATATATATATATATATATATCATAAAGTGGTTTGGTGCGTTGTTGGCGTTTGCGTTTGCTGATTTGAGTAGTAGTAATAGGATCAGAAAGCTTAAAGAATCTAGGAGCCACAACTGTCAACTCACAGCATCCAACTTGTACCTGAATAAAAAAAAGGGCAATTTAGTAAATTTAACAAGTTTAAGGGGTTTGGTGATATATGGAATGGATAAATGATATACATGTATGGAGTAAGTGGCTAAGTGTGATGTATAAACAAAGA